GTATCTTTAGTTCTGTTGGTGATGGTATAATTATAGTGAACAAGAATGTGGAACGACACATATACCCCCCTTTCTAGCAATTGACTCACATAATTGGTAATTTTATTACAGAAACTTGCCAAAAATGGGTACATGGAAGTGTTCAATTATGGAAAAATCAACAGAAACCATTGTGACATTTAAGGCCCATGTGACATTGACCTTTGACCTAATGACCCCTAAATCGTTAGAGGTCATCTACTACTTATGACCAATAACTAGGTGAAATATGAAGACTTTGTGATGAATACTTTTCAAGATAATCAGCGGAAACCCTTTTGACATTTAAGGCCCTGTGACCTTGACCTTTGACCTAGTGACCCCAAAATAAATAGGTGTCATCTACTAGTTATGACCAATCACTATGTGAAATATGAAGACTTTGTGATAAATACTTTTCAAGATAATCAGCGGAAACCATTTTGACATTTTAAAGGTCCCAGTGACCTTGACCTTTGACCTAGTGACCCCAAAATCAATAGGGGTCATCTACTAGTGATGACCAATCACTATGTGAAACATGAAGACTTTGTGATACATACTTTTCAAGATAATCAGCGGAAACCCTTTTGACATTTAAGGCCCCTGTGACCTTGACCTTTGACCCCAAAATCAATAGGGGTCATCTACTAGTGATGACCAATCACTATGTGAAATATGAAGACTTGTGATACATACTTTTCAAGATAATCAGCGGAAACCATTTTGACATTTAAAGCCCCTGTGACCTTGACCTTTGACCTAGTGACCCCAAAATCCAATAGGGGTCATCTACTAGTTATGACCAATCACTGTGTGAAATATGAAGACTTTGTGATACATACTTTTCAAGATAATCAGCGGAAACCATTTTGACATTTAAGGTCCATGTGACCTTGTCCTTTGACCTAGTGACCCCAAAATCAATAGGGGTCATCTACTAGTGATGACCAATCACTATGTGAAATATAAAGACTTTGTGATAAATACTTTTCAAGATAATCAGCGGAAACCATGTGGTCTACCAACGGACAGACCGACGGACCGAAAGACAGACCGACATTAGCAAAACAATATACCCCCTCTTCTTCGAAGGGGGGCATAATTAGTATTTTATATGGAAGTTTAGTTAAAATACTACTTTACTTACATTTTGCAACCTCTATGGCACATAACTGCATGTTCAGCACTACATATTTTTCAGTTATTAAACATCTAACATGCTCTTAATTCATTATTTAAACATATTTAACCACATGTTTGACATTTCTACATGTTCTCAGGAATTAAATAGATATGGATTTGTGTGCCTTTAATGTATGAGAAGTATTATATCAAAGGCATGGTGTGGATAGGAAGTCATCTAGTTTATAAACTGATTGGAACAATTTGAATGTATGTTTACGAATAAGATATTTAAAGAAAAATCAACAAATCAAAAACTTAAATGCCCATGGCAGTAACAAATTTTCCAAACTTTTTACATTCACTCAGTGTTATGAAAGACATCTGCCATTAAATAAAGGCTCTATTAAGTGTAACAATCTATTTTTAGCATTGGTGGTCTTGACTCCACTGACCCCTAGCTCCATTTAAAATACACCTATCAATTAAAAGGGTTGTACCTGCAAAAGTGTAATAATTTACTTTTGGCATTGGTGATAATATCCTTGACCCTAATGACCCCTAATTACACCCAAAGGAAGAGGACCTGCCTGAGCATCAAACATGAAATACATCAGTTTATAAAGGCTGTATGAGGAATTAAATAATTTATTTTTAACAACTATCTTGACCTTAGCCCAATGACATCAAAATTAGAGGAGTATTTAAGGTATTAGTATCCATCTACCAAATATGGATCATTAAATAAATGAAGTTATAAAGAAGAAATTAATGATAAATTCAACTTGCCAGAATAGGTTAGCTATACCAGAAACTGTATTCAAAGTGATAAAAAGGGGAAAAAATGGGAAAACAATAATAGAACTTATAATGTTCTTTGTTTTGATAAACAATTGTGCCAATTAAAAAGCCACTAGTATAAATAGAACTTCAGATATTTCCAACTTGTTGGTTTAGGTTAACCTTGTACGGGCGGACATAATGACAAAGGGACTTCTAAAATGGGATAAGGGGTCATTTCTTATATTTTCTTTTGTTTAATATTTTATTCTATTGTTATGGATTGGAGTCTGCTGTTTTCTTTTGTTCTGTTTACAGTCAGATGGCCCCCTATCTTTTCAGTAATATGGACAGACAGACAGACTGGGACAGTACAATTACTTTATGCGATATATGTTCATAAAAAAAACAACAACAAACCATGCTATCAATCTTTCTTTTGAAAATGAAACTGTAAACTGTTGAAGGTTTAAATGAGGGATTTTGATATAAAAAAGCTCAAATTAAACAGTTATAACAGTAGTGTTTGATCAAACATGTATTGGATAGCCTGACTAAATACTAATTGCTCAAGCAAGACATTATTAACTACCTGTATTGATAGGGGTAAATAAACAAGGTAACCCAACTGGGGTCAATGTAAATCAAAACTGGAACTGAAATAACCTTTGTTAAAATATAAGAACCTTTTTTATTTTTCTTTTGTCAAATACCAGGCATAGTGTCTGAAATTATTTTACCCATTCTTCTGAAATAAACTCTGAAGTTAAATCTGTATATTGTTTCTTATGAAATCCAACATCAGGAGCAAGTTAAGTACTCAAAACAGTACACAAGAGAATTGAATCTTATATTTCCACTTGCCAACATCCATTCAAGTTTATGTATTAAACATGTTTTTTTTTTTTGTTTTTTTTTTTGGGGGGGGGGGGGGGGGGGGGCAAACATGACATGCATACATCTGTCTGTAAACACAGGCAAGAACCATGGAATGTATCTTAAATAACCTATATTCTTTAACATCATGCCAACTGCATAATATTCATCTTTTAATGGATGTTTTGAAGTCACTTGGTGACAAATTATATCTTATATTAGGATACCAGAATATATTGTCCAAGATAACCACAAAATTGCCTGTTCAAAAGCATATCTAATGTTTGTTGTTGCAATGGTAGTCTCATGTATTATGAGCATTGTAAAGTTATCTACTGACCAAATATGGGTTATAAGGTTCCATGGTAAATGATATGGTTTTCCACATAACTGTTTATTGTGTATTTTGTCTGTACCTAACCGGGACACTATTAATATGAAACTTTCCTTTGCATGTGAAACTATATATCCATATGATAGCTTAATACCCGAATACTGAAACCAAGAATCTATGTCAAGCCTGCATGCATACCTGTATGCACTTGCCTACATTTATATGGTTGGTATTGAAAACTGTTATTTTAACCCATTCCCTCAATTATACTAACCTTTTAACGTCTTTTTCACCTCCACCCTCTTGTTAAAGCCTCAAATGGTAAAAAAATGCCTCACTTAGCCTGCCAACACTTGTTTTTGTTTGAGAAATGTTGTTTAAAAAGGTGGCAGCTCTCTAACAAAAAGATACATCAAGGGGGTGCCAGAGGGTGATGTGCCCTCTTCTGATCAGGGTTTTGAAGGGGGCAGGAGCCCCCTCATCGCCAAGGAAAATTTAGAACTTGTGAGAGGATAAAAATGACCTCAGGTCCATCATAAGGTAAGGTGTAACCAACACTGAAAAGCCTTTGACTCTATCTCAATCCATTGAGAAGTTGCAGCACTTTGAAAATCAGTTTTGATGGAAAAAATCAATGCAAAATAGTGATTTTTGGCAATTTTGAGATGCCCCCTCATTGCCATGATAACAGAAAATTTAAGACTGAGCATGCCATTACAAAGGCAATAGTCCAGTCAACATGTGTGCCAAGTTTGATCAGTATTGAAACATTTTTTATAGTTTCATAGCAATTTGAACTTATTGGGAGGCTTTTCAATGAAAACAGCCATTTTTCATGCGATAATGGGTTAATAGGGGATTTGGATTATACACCAGTATTTTTGACACCTGTTATGAGGCATTTCTTTATCGACTTTTCCAAGAATTTTTATAAGCTGACCTATTTGTGCTACAAATTGAGATATTGAGCTATTTTATGTATTTAATCTCCAGAATGCAGAATAAAAATATCTCAGAATCTAGCTTGAGAAGTATTAGATTTTTAATTTTTATTGAGTGCAAACTTGTTCTCTGTAGTTATTTTGAATGTTAAGCTCATATGTTAAACTACATAAAGACAAACATTGGCGTAAAGTTTTATCAGAATTGATCATACCATTATCCAATTACAGCCTGGACAAACAATGCAATACTAAACAAGTTTTACCTTTGTTCCAGAAAACTGACTTTGACCTTGGAGTGACCAATCAGGTTATTTCATGGAATGTTGTTTCGCATTTAGAAAAAAAAAACAACAAAATATATCTGTGACAAGTTATAAAAGAATTTTATCATCACATCATACTTAAAACTTTTTGATAGGACAAGTGAATTTGATTTTTACATTATGACCTTGACCATTCAGAAACCAATTCGATTATGAGATACCTAGCTTGGTTGGTCCAAGCAAACATTTAATTTAGGTTGTATTGAAATAACTACACATTTTTTTAAAGTAAATACAGACCAGATAAGCAATTTTGACCTTTGACCCCAAACTATGACCTTGACTTCTAAGTGATCAATATGGTTCTTAATTTCCGCAGACATAATAAAGGGTTGTAAAGTGACCCCCATTAAACACACATGGCAAAAATAGGGCTGATTTTTTACTTTCTTTATAAAGCAGAACAAATTTAGGGATTTTATTATTTTACTTCAGATTAGTAGGGTTGTTTCTATTACCTTCATAACTCAAATACCAACGCTGTGTTTCCAACAACAATCTATAGCCCTCTTCTTTTGTAACGAAATTTTGTCCTTAATATCGAATAAACTCCTACATAATAATAACTATAAAATAATAAAGTAAATTTAAAAAAACAGCTTTCTGGTTAATTTCATATTCCTGTATTTTATTTATTTACAATTTCTTTTAAAATCCATTATCACTGAACAACAGTATACATTTATAATGTCATACTTGATAAAAACACTAAACACTGTAGATCTACATGACAAAAATATAAATATTTCTATAGAAATTTTTTCAAAAGTTTTGACAGTCTTGTGTTAAAGAACGCATCTGAATAAATACCATCGCATAAATAAAGAATCACTTGGACAAACCTTCAATGATAAAAATACATTAAACTCCGCATAAAGACCACTTGTCTATAAAGACCATGTATAATATGGGTGGCCTTTCACAGGTTTGATTGTACATAATTTGCTTGTAAAGTTTTGCAATTTTCCTGTTTAATTGTCACTTCCTGTAATCGATTAAATTTTGTTGATTTTTTTCTGAAGTCACATGTACACTCTTGTCTACATCACAACCCTATCATACAGTTTTCCATAATTGATTCATCATTCTTTAAATTGGCACATGGTCATTTTATTGGGTGGGAATATACATAACAACCAGGAACAAATGTAAAAGGAACTAGAACTGTGTCCAAAGGACACGGATGCCCCCACTGACAACAAATATATATGGTATATAGTGAAAAATCAACAAAGGGCCATAATTCTGTTAAATTTGGTCGCAGCAAAAATTCCTTCCTTTACTTCTATCTACACATTAAGGTTGTTCATCTCTGGAAGTTTAAGCAAAATCTGCCATCCTGTTTAAGAGGAGTTGCGTTCACAAAATTTCTATATGGTATATAGTGAAAAAATCAACAAAGGGCCATAATTCTGTTAAATTTGGTCATAGCAAAAATTCCTTCCTTTACTACCATCTACACATTAAGGTTGTTCATCTCTGGAAGTTTAAGCAAAATCTGCCATCCTGTTTAAGAGGAGTTGCGTTCACAAAATTTCTATATGGTAAATAGTGAAAAAATCAACAAAGGGCCATAATTCTGTTAAATTTGGTCGTAGCAAAAATTCCTTCCTTTACTACCATCTACACATTAAGGTTGTTCATCCCTGGAAGTTTAAGCAAAATCTGCCATCCGTTTTTAAGAGGAGTTGCGTTCACAAGATTTCGGGACGGACGTTCCGGACGTACAGACAGACGGACAAGTGCAACACTATATGCACCCCACTTCGTGGGGTCATAAAAATCAAAAGTGGATGGGTGGAGGTCATAATAAAAACCTTACGGTTATTTTGATATCCACTAAATCTATGAATATTGACGGCAATGGCAATGTCAGATAAGTGACTTAAATTAAAGCAGCCTTCAGCTTGTATTTTTTTGCTGGAAAAACAATTCTGTGTTGTATCAAACTGAGTAGTGCAGTAATATTAGTTCAGGAAAAATGCATCAAATCACTTAAGGCCTTCAAAACAGCGTTTTATAGCCCGCAGTGACTTTCGTTTCTAAAAATAAAAGAATGGGAAAGGAATTGTCCGCTTTACTAATTTACATAGAGAGCAGACCAGATGTTCCTTATTGCTTATGTATTTTATTAATGACTAATTTCATTATATACCTTAATTCTTTTGATTTGACAATAATATGTAAAAGTAGATCTTAAAATAACATATCTAACTTTTAGAAAAGCTGAAGGTCACTTTAATCAAGACAGTAACAATTCTCAAATGTGGTCCTAGCATCAGAGATCCTAATGGGTAATACATCACCGTAGAAACAATATTATATATTAACATGATTCCCAGTGCTAAAAAATAAAAAGAAATTCAAAATTAAAATTCTTCTACGCTGTCTTCTTTCACATACATGTCTTGATTTCTCCTTTTAAACTTTTTACTCGCTGGACTTTTTATACATTTTGGAGTATCCAGTCTTTTCTGTCCTGTTTTCTCTAAAGAGTCCTCTAAATATTTATTTTCCAAATTCACTATAGGACTTGAATGGTTTAGAGGTTTATCAAGCTCCGCATCGCCCGTTAATTCCGGTAGGCTTTCTAAAACCGCCTTGCCTTTTCTCTGTTCGGCCATTATTGCTTGAAATTCTACATCCTCAGTTTCAGCTGACATCTCCATTATTACACTTTCATTTTTCTTATTCGAACTTTGTGCCGACAACATTTCTTGCAATTCTGGATCATCATCACTGATTTCTAGTGACTTACAATCTAAACTAGACGAGCTATTTCTACTGTCAACTATTTCCGAGTCAGAGTCCGACTTTCCGGGAGAGAACATTCCGGTTCCCGTCTTCAATCGGTCTGATTTCTGAGCGGCTAATATATCCGCTAATTCTGCATCATCATTTACCTCGTCTTGTGAAGATGGACCCGTATCTGAACTACTCCCCGATTCACTTGGTGGGCACTGTTTCAACTTTTCTGATAAACTCATTCTTTTCTGAACTTTGAACAGTTTACCAGGAGAATCTACTCCTCCTCTATTTGAGTTTGTATTCACATCTAAGTTTTCAGCAGCCGCAACATTTTCCTCATCTTCATTAATTGAAATTTCGTCAGGATTACCAACGGAAATAAAACTTTCACTACCAGCTGAAAGTATACTATCATTTCCCGTGGACATAAAGCTTATACTTCGATCACTAAAACTCTTCTCACTTTCGGTCATTGAAATAAAACTTAGTTCACTGTCATCTTCATCATCAACATCATCATTGTCATCATCATCATCACCTGCCCCGTCAACTTTTTCACTTTCAGCATCATCTGGAAGGTCGTATTGGGAATCTTTTCCGAGAAACACGGCATTTGGGTCGGTAAGGTCTAGCATACTACACAGCAAAGTGGTCTGGGGATTAATCTCGGGCTGCGGTGCTGGCATTTTATTCTGTTGTTTGGACAGTTTCGGGTCATACGCTGGAACAGTGGGTTCAAATTTTTCAGGAAATGTAAGATTGCCACCGAAGCAGGAACAAACAGCATCCATCTCTGCCTTTGTTGGCGTAAACTTTGTCCTGAAATATTACAAATAATTTCATACAGCCGGGCATTACATAAGAACTACTGAACTAATTTTATGGGTTTTTTTCTTATTTTCTTTACAACAGCTTCTGATTGTGCAACAAAAAGACCATAATGGAAGCTTATCTATCCTCATAAAACTACTTTTGCTTTATTCAACCACTTCTAAAAATAATTTCAAATTTTACAAATACAGAAACCAAAGCAAGTACCCTTTTGTTACATTTCCTTGTTTTCAGACAGCATTTTAATCTAGACACTTCTTTAATTTTTCTGGTATTCCTGGTGCAAAAAAAAAGCCAATGATACTGTCCCCTCTTTTTTTTGTTATTAAGTCAGAGCAACACTTAAAAGAAGGGGAAAATATAGCGCGATAAATCAGAAAAGGGGTAAACCTGAAATTAAATTCCAACAACTGAAAATGGAATTTACCCACACATTTTACAGTTTTATGAAAAAAAATTAATATCAATTCAATTTTACATGCATGGTACATAGCAGAGGCTATCTAGAGAGATAGCTTTCTGTCTTCTAGCTTATTTAAGTCAGATGCTGTTAAGTCATGGTTCTGGTAAGGAAGGCACAAGGCATTTTAGGGGAAAATATTAGCATTTTTAGGGGAAAATATACCTATTTTGGGCTAGGGGAAACAGCCTTTATTCGGCTGTAGAATACAGAGAAAAAAATCACTGAATACTGGTGTGAAAAGACCACAACTGCTCTCAGTGCATTATTATATTAAAATTGCATTACATAATATAAGACACAAGCTAGCATCTGAGTGGAACCATTGAGATTCTGTATACTAACTGGATAGCTTTTTGACGGATGAAAAAAACCAAAGCCCATGTCCGAATTCAACCCTCACTTGTGGGGGGCAAGTGAAATCTTGGGTAAAACCACAATCAAACTCTGTACATTAGTTGGATAGAATTCAATGTCTCAGGGAAGATTCACACAAGTAATTCCAAGCAGTCGACTTCAACCATTTTCTTCATATAGTCAAGGAACTAAAATTTTTTAGAAAAACAAAGCTTATACCTTTTGTTGCAACCAGAAAACAATGGAAAAGATTTTTATGTTAGATTCATAGAAGTGAAAAGAGCCAAATGTGATTTTTAAACATATATTTACCTTTCTCCTGGCACCCCGCCAGGATAATGAGGCGCTTTGGTTAAACTCAACATATGATTGGTCAGTTTAAGAATGGCCAGCCATTCAACATCAAGCTGTAATTTGATTGGCTTAGAGCTGTCATGTGGTACATCAATCACCTGTAGCAACAATAAAAGATATGTAACCTGTTAAATTTCTCAATTAAAATTTCTACAAATTTTTGCAGCCAAAAAGAATCTTAATTATAACTTAATTTTAAGTTCAAAATAGAGTAGAAAGAAACTTTAAGTAATATTTTGTGCTAGAAAGGTGGCGACCAAATCTGAGACAATGTTCTGTTGTCTTTAAGTTAAGATAAAGGTCATGAACATATACTACAAGTTGTTAATAGCTGATGTTGTGGTAAAAAAACATTTAACAACACGACAAAGTAACAGTCTTAACACGAATGTTGTATTAGTGGGGATGCAAGAAGTAGATGTAGAGACAGGCAGACGGACGGCGCAATTATATTATATATGCTGCCCTTTGGGGGAATAAAACTGTACAGTGGTAATAAAGTTTAACCAACGCGTAAATGCTGTCACATATGCCTGATAAGGACAACTCTCCTTATTCTTCAGATAGTAGATCCATATACAAGTACCTCGAACTGCTTTGATTACAAACTTGAGAAATTAAAACATTGGACTGTAGAATGTTTTCCTACCTGTAAAAACTCCCTCCTTGGTAAACATTTATCTAATGCAAGAAATTTAGTAGTCTTTGAATTTATCTCTTCCTGAAAGAAAAAAAACACATTAAATTTGCTAAATGTCAGCTGCATTTTTTTCAGTTTGAATTAGGTCACAACTACACTGTTATGGTAATATGGAGACTTTTCGAGCTCAATTGGTGCAGGAAGACATACGGTGCCACCTTCCAACATTATATAACTATTCTCATTGACAGTAAAACAAGATCCTGGGTAATAAAGCATATAATTCTGTAAAAATCTATGTTTGAGTTATCAGTCTTTGAAATTGCCAACCATTGCTCCCAAATAAGTGTGTGAATTTTCAACCCATTCTCTTCAGTAGTTTTAGAGATACCAACTTGCTCGTTAAATCTTAACCAAAGTGGACACTGATGCCTGGGTGTGTACAATAGCTCTCCCTACTCTTCAAATAGTCAAGCTAAAAATCAAACAAGAACAATGAAGCTTAAAATTACTCACTGTATGTTGTACGACAGCCGGGAACTTGACATGCAGATGAGCCGAGAACCAGTATGTTGGCTGTAATAACTTTAGAAGGTCTGCAGCCATAGGATTTCCTAGGATATCTTTTTCAATTTCATCAGCAAGAAACCTCTTTTTCTTCACCAGTTTATTCACATTACCATACTTGTAAATTCCTCTTGGCCAATCATGAGACATGAAGATATCTATGTGATTTTTTACCTGTAAACAAATTTCATAGACATCTTTCAATATAGGAATTTGGGACAAATCTATTTCTTCTTACCATTTGTAAAACTTGTATTGAAAGATACCGCTTATAATGATATACATGTACCATGTATTAATTCAAATGTACAATTCTTTTGTCACTGTTCTAACTCTTGTTTTCAAATTGGTTGCCTCTCCATTTAAATAATATCCAGGGAAACTGAACGTGTTAGCCTCATTAAATAAAGTTGTTACTTACTTACTTACTAGTGATCACAATATAAATTCAGTGGTCCCCTGAATATCAGACAGACAGACGGACAGACAGATGACGGAGAAGTGATCCCTATATGTTGCCACTACTCCGTAGAGCCGACAGAAAAATGATATCCACAGGGCTACAGATAACATTTTGTGTATATTGGGTAATTACCCCTTGTTTTGTGATCTATTGGGTTTTTCTATTTTCTTTGAGTTATCTCTGTATTTTTTACCCTACCCCATCTAACCAATTTGGGTAATAAAGCACGAGTTCATGTATTTTACCCAAAATTTCTGACCTTCATTGTAGACTGTTGTAGGTTTTGTATGGTAATAAAAAAATACTTACTACTTTGCTTTATGGTTTATTGGCCTAGGAGATTTCCAAGCTGCCTGATATAATTTAAAGGTTAAAACAGTCTGAAACAGTATGATCTGCCTGATGTACTCGTTAAGTAATAATTTATGTCATTACGCACCAGTTCAAAAATTTATGTCATTACGCACCAGTTCAAATGTAGTTTGCATAAATAAGAATTCATCTACTTTTTCTTACCCTTAGTTATTATTTCTATAAGACATATAAGTCAACAACCGCTAACCACTCGCAAGGGAACTGATTCTATTTAGACATTTTAATTGGGTAATAATGCAAATACGCATGTTATCTGCAGCCCTGATCATGATAAAAATTCGGTGGTCCCCTGAATATCAGAGTTTACTGTATATTGTAATAAATTCTGAACATTTATTTACTTATGAGATAATACATACCTGTTTTAACCTGAAAACATCAAAGTTTCTCAAGTGATATGCTGATCGTTTTGAATCTTCACAATATGGTGGGTGCTCAAAATGTCCTGTAAATCATAACAGATAAAATACTCAGTTCAAAACTTCATATGAATGTTTCTGTATGAATTCCAAAAAATATTCCATGCAAACAACTAGCATAACAGTCATTTGGCTATTTCCCAGCTAGCAGCCTATATTTTATAATCCCTTGACAACCAGAAACACCAGTGGAACTGTATGCAAGAGCTGTCAGTAAGACAGTGTGCTCAACTATTCTCAGAGCTTGATAGTTAAACAAGAGCCTGAATAATGTGGAATTTTCCAAGTTAAAAAAAAGGGCCATAATTCTGTCAAAACCCACATCAGTGCTATAGGTTTATTATGCTCTCAAATAGTGTGGAGTTTTAACCCATTCTCTTCAGAAGTTTTGTAGTTAACTTCATAATATTTCAAATTGTCCTGTCTGAAATTAGTCAGTCTCTGGCAATAAAGCAATAGATGACACGAATGCAATATAAAGGTTACCTTTCATATAGTCTTTGCCTTTGTAGATACCTGACATACCACCAATTCTGACACCACCAACCTGCACCACTCCAGCATAACCTGTTATAATAATAAAACATTCAGTCATCTGTCACCTTTGAGTGCAAACATATTATAACTAGTACAAATAGAGTTCTTGAAAAGTCTGTCAGGAAAATATCTTCTTTTATTTAGTTTTATGTCACACAAAGATGTTGTATGGTAATTTTTCAGCTTAACTAGTGGAGGAAGACCTCATAATACCATCCTTGCATTATTTCAGGCACCAGAGGTTACCTGAGTAGAACCACCAACCACTGAAGCTGGATAGTGCTCTCACATGAAAGAATCAAGTCTCTTTAGAGATTTGAAACTGTAGCAGTAAAAGGCAAGTGGTGTTTGAAGTCAACAACCGCTAACTACTCGCAAGGGAACTGATTCTATGTATCAATGTGAGCATTATGTTAATTTATGTTTGATGGTGTAAGTTTGATTCCCACACAGAGCAGATACCGTAGGTATGCTGTGCACTGAATCAATGGAAGCTCTGGTTAAGGTTTAATATCCAACGACACCTATCATATCAATACAAGGAAAAACTCAAAGTAGCTCTTACCCATGTAGTATATTTTTGGGGCCACCCAACCACCATAGGGTAGTTCCTGTAGATAGTTTGATGCTTCATGATTCCCTCCAATAAATATTGTAAGTATTGGTGCAACTTTCTCTCCAGAGTAATACCTGTAATGTAAAATACAATATAGCATTCAATCATACAACTTGAATAACTCGATTTAGTACAGTATCTGAGGGGATTTCCTGTGTGCATGAAAGTTCTCATAATATTTTATGCAAAATCTGTTAGAGGAATATCTGAGTTGTAAGAATATCAGATCATGGTGTGGTTTGAGAAATCCAAGATGGTGTCCAAGATGGCCACCAACAATATGAAAATTACCATTATCTCTCAATTAATTGATTTTTGGCAGTTAAAACTTCTGCATGTATTCCTCTTATGCATCTTTGTATCAAATATATTATCAATTGTTTTACGCAGTCAACAAAAATTAGAGAGATGGCTGAACAGTGAAAAGGTTTCTGTTGCAGAACGTAAGAATTATTGGTTCAACCCTTACTTTTCATGAGTACTCAAATACATACAATTATTTGGTGTATCTAATTTTTACCCTCTTAGCCAGTAATGGTCTTGTAGCAAAGGTGACTTCTGCTCAACCTTAGGATTGCCTGGACACTTTAAGGCTTACTGGACACCAACAGTGCAATAATCAATAACTTTACTTTTCTTTTCATAAATGATTTTTCTCACCAAATAAAGAGCTCAGATCAATTGACTTTACACTTATGTTCAGATGTGTTTACTGTTAGTTTCTTATTGAAATTTGGTTAAAATGAACCTGTGTACCAACACTTATACCTTAGTTGGCCTAAATTTGAATCTAGCTATGAGATTCTAAAGACCTGCTGTAAGCAACTGATTGTTAAATCAAGCTACTTGTATTCTGAAGATTTGCATGCTTCACTCAATTCAAGTAATGTATAATTTAAAAAGTTGGTAGTTATTTGTAGTCAAACAATCAACCAATATAATGTTACAAGTATAAGATAAGGAAATATGTATCTTCCAAGTTTTCTTTTCTTTGAAAAAAGCAAATGAAAAAATACATTGAAAAGCAAATGAAAATTATACAGAGATTTTATCATAGTTCTTCTCAGGTGACCCCTAAAACTCAAAATTATGAGTACAGAAGGGTAAATAAGGTTCTCCTTTCGTAACAACCATTACAAGTTATCATATGACATTTTAAGTGTCGGGTTCAATGAGATTTAAAAGACTTTAGCTGGAAAAAAATAACACAAAAACTAAAACGCCCCAAAAATAGAAGGAAATCTGAAGTTCAATTTACTTATAAAAGGTATTCATTTTCTTGTGTTTCTGTGGCACAGCCATACAGTCCATGTCGGCCATGTTTCGTACAGATTGGAAGTCTCCGCATATTAAAAGTAGGTCAACCTTAAAATTGTTCTTTTTCTCGAGATATTCTATTGTTTGATATATGTTGTCCAGCTCACCATGGCAACAGCCTTCTACTGCAATCTTCATTCTTTAAACTGTCTAAAATTCTCTCCTGTAAATGTAGAAACATAAAACAAATTTTAAAGATAATTAATGTTCAAATTTGATATTTGAAAATACAAAAAAATGCTATACAGTCACTATTAAAAAGTTATTTACCAAAATAAACATCTTTTATAGTTCACATAGAGAAGATTATGTTACCTTTGAACTGTACCTAATTAATGACATAATGTGGTTTCACTAAAAAGCTAGAAATGTGTTGTCATGCCCAAATCATTTGAAATGCCCCCACATGCAGACAAAATTTAAATGTTAGAATATTTAATTTCAAATTTGTTTGCACAAACTATTTCTTTCATTCTAAGTTCAAAGGCCTTAAACTTTTCAATGTTAACAAAAATGATTTTTATACAACTTTCAAGGCCCTGAAACTATTCAGTGTTAACCTAGTCACTTTGCAAATTGCAAATTTGAGATGAATCTGTTAGAGAGATAATGAATAAAAACTAAAAATTCAAACTTGACCAGCATATTCCTAGGATATATACATATATAAATTTAAGTCCAAAATGGCAACTGTTTGGGAGAATAATGAATGAAAACTGAAAATTTCTCCTTTTCTTGTTTTCAAAGTTAAATGGAGTAACTCTACCAAAAATCATCGAATCATGACCAAATTCAAACTTGACCTGTGCATTTCTATATCATATCCATATTTTAAATTTGAGTGAATGTATGCAACTTTTTGGGAGATAATGAACGGAAACTGAAAATTATTTCTTTTATTTCAAAGTAAACAAAAAGGGCAAAAATCATGAAACAATTACCAAATTCAAACTTCATCTGCACATTCCTTTAAAATATCCATATATTATATATGAGTTGAATGTGTCCAACTACTGGGGAGATAATGAACAGAAACTGCAAAATTACTTCAAGGGGGATTTATAAGTGACATTTTCGAAAACCTAGCTAAACACCGTTTTCCGGTACGTTACGGATTTAGCTCTGGGGAATTACGCCAAATGAAGTACATAACACAACTACATGATATTTCTATTTTTCTATCATTATTTTACCGTTTAAGGTGAGAAAAAATGATGTATTTGAAAATTATCAATATTCCTTAAATATCTATTGCAAATTTTTCAAAAAAAATAAATTGTTTATAATGAAAATCAATAAAATTAAAACAGACGTAGTGGAATCTTCCATAATAAATAAGGTTATTTTCTGCGTAAACTTGTGTATTTACTTTATTTTTTGTATGGAATTATTCATACAATGATATTTAATTATTTTCTTATAAAGAAATAACTATTTTATTTCAATTTAATTTTAAAAAGGCTGAAAACATCGAGTTCGCTATTACACTCCATTAGGTGAATTCCCCAGAGCTATGTACAGAAAGTACCGGAAAACGGCGTTTAGCTAAGTTTCCGAATTTGTGAAGTCTTTCAATAATCATCCAACCGTGACCAAATTCTGACTTGACCTGCATTTTCTTATGATATATTCATATGTCAAATATGGACATGTGTTACTCTGGTAAGGTTTCGTAACAGGTCTGATCCAGAACTTTATGCCACATGAGATGAAATACAAAAATGTTTAACAGTTACATAAAGCCGCTTATAATATAAAGTTTTGGAAGCAAGAACTATATATGCTTCTCTTTACTCTATGGCATGGTACATTTTACATGAAGAAACACGAGCATGCCAAATACCATAAGCTAGTTAAATCGCAGTGAGATGAGTTTACCTGTTTACATAGCGCATTGCCAAACCATTCTATATTTTAAACAGTTGTAAGACTCTGCCTCTGGTTCAATCTAAATCTTATGGTAAACTAACAGCAAATAATTGCAACCTGCATGCCAGCAATTCGTAATGCTTATGTTTTTGTTACTGAATCTATATTGATTCAGACGTATGGTCATTTGTAACCACAGCAAAGAAATTTTCAAGTGTCAAATTTATAGATTTGAAATTAAGTAGTCGCGGAAACTAGTGAAAGTCAATAAATGTAGACTTATTAACTGCACAATTTGTTTGGATTATAAATAGTTATAAATGCATGGAAATGTTATAATCTGGTCAATCTAAAATTTATACTTACGTTAAAATTTGCTAATTACACATTTTAATATTATTTATTCTTTTTTTAAAAATCATCAACCCAATGATATAAATACACCGAAAAGTTACTGCCATTTCAGTCAATATTGAAATAAACCACATCGACAGAGGTATCTGAAATCTTCTCCAAATCCCTCCAGAGGCGTGCACGTCGCGGAGAAGGCACACGGCAGGTCAAGGTCAAGTCATCTTAAGTACCAGAGGTGACTGGTTGACCTGTCGTGACTAACTCTGGAGGGTGGCGCTAACAAGAGCCGTTTTATGTCAACCGCCTGTTTGCAGCCGTCACGGAACTTGATGCTTTTCCGGTATTGTCTTTCCTCCACCGAACGAAGAACAGGACTTAGGAAGATCGGCATGAAAAAGACGTCCCCGATGAGACTACTAGAGTGGACCGGCATGGACGCTGAGATCTCGGACATATGGAATTTCCGGCGCCGAGCTAAAATAAACTTAAAAACACACACAGGTATCTGAAGTCTGGACTGGTCTTCAACAGTCACACTCAAAATTATAAATTCTGTCCTATTAAGATCTGCCAGTTGGACCAAATTTGACCTTGAGTGTACATCCAGTGTTACCATGCAGATGCTGCAATCACTTAAATTGCGCCGATAGACTTTCCTAGTATTTACTGTATGCTCCCCATGAGTGCTAATTTAGACGATTCGTTGTAAAAATAACACTTTCCTGAGTCCAGGTGACCGTTCACCTAACTCTTGTTTTCAATGAATTTATTGATTGCACTAAATGTACTATACTAGTACTATCAAGATCCTAAGTCATACTATCAATATTGAGGGCCTTAGTTCCTCCTTAACAGTCCTAAGGCTTGATGCCGTCTCAGTAACCGTTTTCTGATAGAAAATATTATTCTCTAAATTTATATTTTTACTACATTTATTTTAGAGCACCACAAATACTATATCAATACCTTCAATCAAGGGTCCTTTGTGTTCCTTAGATCTTCACATTGTGTTTTCTGCGCCTTTTATTTAAATCATATCAACCATTTACATGTCAGGTAGTAGCTAATTCAACATTATTTCGTTTATTTGTACTTTTAACAAGCACCACGCACAAACGGTAAAAAGCCCAGCGCCAGAAACCGCAAGGTCAACATTAAGACAACAAGTCTACCAAAATAAGCCAAAATCAAAGAATAAATACTTTACTTTGCAGCAACTCGTAGACCCCAACCCCCCCAAAAAAAAAAAAAAAAAAAATCAAAACAAATATATATTTTAGAAAAGATTGACAGGGAAACTTATAGTTATTTATAAGAGGAAAGTAACAAAACAATTATAAAATCCATCTTCTAGTGGTAGAATGTATGCAAAGTATATTATTGCTGTAGATGAAAACGTATATTATAATGTAAAAGATGTATTGACTCTATTATTGTTGTTGAAAAAAAATATGACAAGATAGATATTGAATTTGACAAAAATCAAAGAAAATAAACAGAAATGTACAGTATATTTATTACAATGTTACTTAAAAAAAGGGGAAAAAAGAAAAGAAAAAAAGATGGGCCATGAAGAGAGCGCCTCCCCGTGGTGTGGCCTGGGTGCACTGAACAGGTAATGCATGCTATATCTATTCAGTTGCAACTGAAAGCTCTCATCAATGCAGTCGGTTTTTCTTTAATTTCAAAAACATAAATTATCTTAAACACTATATATGTATTATATATACATAATTTAAACTTCACAGCTGATTTCGGTAATGCTTAACACATAACGGGGTGTTAAGAACAAAGGGAAGTAATTCAATAATTACATTTTTGTTAATAACACCATTAAAATAAAAAAAAGTCACCACATTTTTTAAATGAAAGTCAATTTTACTAATTTTCATCAAATAACAAAGAAATAATAGCAATATTCAAGGCTAGTTTTTACGAGTTGATTTCGGTAGTGAAAATTTGATTTCGGTAACTCTACCACTTTTATGTGGTTTATTTTCTTTTTGGCAGTTTGATAAAAGTTTATCGGGATGCAGGTTTTAATTGGTTCATCATTTTCAGCGTAAACCAATCAATGACTCCCTTTCATTTTCATGAGTAATGAAATAGACAAGATGGCCGATAAAAGAAACTGAGTCCTAATTTGGGACTATAGTTGCAATTATTTTAACGTGTGATGCTTTCAAACTATATCTCTCAGTCCAAAATAATAAAACATGTTAAAACGAAAAGCTAAGCAATGTTTTAATAATTATGTTTGCACTTAAAAAGCAATTTTTAATTTTTTCTTTGTAAAAAAGGTTAAATTTGTGATTTTAAAGAAAGAATTTAAATAATTGAGGTAATCAAATAATTAATTACTTTGTTTATATTTGAAATGAATGCAATCTTCTATCACAATTTGTAATCTGGGGGTTTCCCATTCAACATTATTCTTAACGATTTTCATGATTTGATGACTGGGTGCATGATTAAAAAAGGAAGTGGCTATTTAACTTGTTCCTTTTATTTCATTCAAAAAATTTCACATTTTTATTTTATGAGATGCCAAAAGGGGAAAAAATTTTGGCCCCACGGGGATCGAACCCGGGTACCCCGAAAACCTTTTGTGACTTTGACTAGCATCTGGGCTTAACACCCTTTTCCCCATTAAATAACGTTCCCAACTGATACTTTCCCCTTTTGAAATTTTCCCGGGTTACAAGTTACAGAGCAATGTAAATTAACTTGAGCTTACCCGTCTTTGGGCCCGGGGTTTGTGCCAAAAGTACGGGGGTTGTAAAAAGCAGCCCGACCGGAAATTGAACCCGGCCCCGGAAAACGTTTACGGCTCTACTGGGGCCCGTAAGATAGCCCAAAATTTAGCTGTCCGAGTAAGTATATTGCCCGGAAAAACTGTATTGTCTTTTGCGTACAGCACACTTTCTAAAAAAAATTTATGGAAAAAAGCATATGCTTTTTATTCTTTAAAAAAGGATTTTTAAAAAAAAAACCGAATTTTCAAGGTCCCTCCCAAAGACATAATGGACAATATTTTGTAAAACAATCCCAAATCAAACCCGCCCCGGTTAATTTCTTCAAGATGGTGGTGCAGTTTTTCTTTGTTTCCGCTGTTGTTTTTTAAACCCTTTGATCTTTTTGTAAACTTTTATTTTTAAAACTCAGCAACCGTTTTTTGGGGAAAGACTCCAAGAAATGGTCAAAATTGTTTTAAAGAAAATTTTAGTTGAACTTCACTTTGCCCAAATCAGAAAAATTCTTATGGCAGGATGAAAAAAAAAAGGGGTAGAGAAACTGCCTCCTAATCTAGAGTTTTAAAATCTCATAAAAATTGGGGTCAGTTCATTGCAGGTCCATAATCCACTAAGTAAGGGAGCAAAAGTTAATCAAGGAATTGTCACTTACATGTTTAAAAAGTTTAAATTTTTGGGCCCCAAAAAAGTATTTGGGTTTTTTTTATAAAATGGGAAAAACAAAATTAATATTTGCGTTTTGTCTACCAAACAGGGTCTGCTATGATTGCCAAAATGTGATGAAATTTTTTCACAAAAAAAAAAACATCAGCTTTAAACTTGTCTTTTAAAAAAAAAAATCTGAGAGTTTTTAAAAATTATAATTATTTTAAGTTTACAGCATTGCAAGATATTCATATTTATGTTGAATAACGTCATGAAAAACTTAATTGGATCAAAGGTTTTGAGGTTTAAAGGTTCAAGCAATAAAAGATGATTTCCCCTTTTGGTGTATTAGGAAATTTCATTTTTACATTTTAAATTAAACTGCAGACTTCCCGAAAATTGAAAAAACTCAACATTCGGTTTTGACAAACCATTTAAAATCTGTCGGACCCAACGGACCAAAAAAAATTGATCAAAATCAAAGAAAACTTGGTTTTGTATTTTAAAAACATTTTTTTTTTAATTTTTTTTGACGTAAAAAGGGCCCCTTTTTTTCCCCGGCATTTTCAAACTTCCCCCCTTTATCCACCAAAGTTCACTGTTTTTGTTCCTTTTTTTATTAAATTTTTTTCTAGGGCTATTCTTTTTATCCTTTTTTCTGCTTTGTTTCCCGCCCGATTTCTGACGGAAAATTTTTTATTTTTTTCCCAATTTGGCCCCTTTCCCATGGCCCCTTTTGATACATGCGGCGGATAAAAACCGGGCAGTTAAAGATCCGGAAATTTAAAAAATCGTCTGACCTTTTAAACAAAATTTATCGGGAAAAGTCCCTGGGAAAGACCCTTTTTGGGGGAAATTTTTGGTAATTGTTTGGGTCTTTTTCATTTGATGGGCTTTATTGTCATGAATATGTGAAGAAAGAGTATAATTTTTGCTAAAAAACCCTTTTTTTTTCTTCTTTTTTCGATTTTGTGTAAAATTTTTCCCAAAATATCAATTACTTATTTTAATAAAAAAAGTAGTTTATGTGTACTAATTGCTAAATTTAATTGCATGGGTATGTCTTTTTTGCCGGGTGTTGTAATGAGCAAAATACAGTGTTTAAAACTGGACGGGCATGTGATATTGCCTTTCTCCCTGATGATGTAACAAATAAATTTTCTAGCATGAAAAGGCCACCCCCTGTAAATAAGTGGGGTTTAAAGGGGGGAAACTAAATAAAATTTTCCCCCGAAAGGTTTGTCGGTTTTTTCTATTTCTCTATTTTTTATCATTGTTAAAAAAATTTTCCTTTCTTTTACTTTTCCGGTGTGACGTTAAAACCAATCAAAAAAAAAGGAAAAAAGGAAAAAATATCTTACTTTGGTGATGTAAAATTTTTTTATAAATAAAGTTGCACCCATTGATGAAGAAAATTTAAAGATAAATCAAATTTTAAAAATGGATATTTTAAATGAAAATGAATAAATTTTTTCCGGTTAAAAAGGTAAATTTAAAATTTTTTTTCAAAATCAAAACTTTTTTCACAGGTTTGGGGGAAACAGGGCCTGCCCCTTAAATTTTTTGGAAAAAAAATTATCGGAAATATTTGCAAAAGGAGGAGAAACTTTTTTGGGGGAAAATGTGTGTTTTAAAAAAATTTTTTCTTTGGGGAATCCTTCCTTTTGGCCCCCTGGAAGGGGAAAAAAACCCTTTCAAAAA